GCTCACTTCTCTCATCTTCCATCCGCCATTTCCTCACTGGAGGCAAGCAATAGCAATACTACTCTGTATCAGTCGTTAAGTGTGTTCAAAACCACTGTTTCCAAATTGAATTCGGTTCCTGGAAGAGCTGGTGAAGTAGTAAAGGAAAAGTACACAACATTCTTTCAAAAAATCCAGGATATGAACATATTTGTGAAATTGAAGAAATTTTAGCCGGTAAACGTACTGAACTGCCAAGTAAAAAATCACTAACAGTGGAGCAAATAGTGGCTTTTGTACATGTGCCCCTAAGTTCCTGTGAGGTGGACAGAAGTTTTTCACACTATAAGGACATCTTAGGAGACAATAGGAAGGTACTAACTATGGAAAACCTAGAACATTTAGTAATTGTGAACTGCAACAGAAGAGAAGTTGAAAGTTCGGAGAGCTAAATGTGAGTACCACTGGTTTTCTAAATTTGTAATGAGATATGTTGGCTTTGTTGCATGATTTGCATTTAAGTATAGCTTTTGGTTGCAGGTGAATCATTCATAAAATGAACTTAAGTATTGATTTTTTGGTCTTAAAATAATGTAAAATCAATTTTAATATTTGGTATAAGTTTTTATGTGCATATTTCGGAAGTTTTTCATGCATAAATGCATACATATTTAAGGGATTATTAGGGCATATAAATCGCGTCCCTATGTATGACTGACCCTGACTATATTACCATGCAAACAAAGCTGACTGTATCTCAGTAGGCCACTGCTACTTATGGAATACCATATCAGACTGAAATCCATCTGACCAGTAAAGCTATTTTCAACAAAATTGGCATTCCACATTTGGGCCCATTTTATGTATGTGTATAATTATTTTCTTGAAGGTATCACACATGCAGTTTTATTTACCAAAATCATCTTTATAAACTATTGACATTTAATCAAAATCATCAGAGCTGTTACTGAGAAAATCAGTTTTATTTTCAGCCCATCTGAAAGGCCCCTAGTTTTGGACCCAGAACCTTCACATTCATTAGGTACAGACATAGGGACAACCTCTTAAATACTTAACCCCCCAAAATTGTCCAACCATTCAGGGGNACATGCCTTGCAGAAATCATTATTCTTCCAGCGTTAAGAGCTCTATAACTGATTTTGGGTATTCTTTTTTGCTGTTCTCAAACAAAATGTCCCTCAGTGTTGCCCGTTGGTCCTCGTACAGTTTACAGTCCCAGATAGGGTTGCCAGATTTTGTAAAAAAAAAAAAGGAGTGATGTCTCATTGCTTGTTTATAATGACATTTTTCACAACTAATAGGCTATAAAATATACATAATCGGTCCTGGCTTAACCCACGAAAACATATATTTTATTATGTTTGGCCTGGAATTTCAACTTCTTTCATGGAGGAGTCTTTGATGGATCTTCTTCGCCCTCAAACATTTCTGCTAACTTGACACTGACTCTCTAGCAGAGATTGAACAGATTAAAAATACACTATCACCAACAACCTCTGCTTTGGTTTAGAACCTCAAGTGTTGCCAACATTCACAAAATGCAACACAACGAAAGAAACTATAACAATGTCATTTTCCAAGGATTACAGAAATTTTATGATAATATTTAACCCATGAAATACAATTCGCAATGGACTTGAATAAAAAATGGAGAATTATCCACTCCAGGTAAACAATAAATGGAGGAACAAAATTTGGGTGAAAAAACGGAAGAATCCAGGGAAAACAGGGTATCTGGGAACCCTAGTATTTTCTCATATATATACTACGAGTAAATAAACAGAAAAGTAAAATTAAAAACCTCTTGTTTTTTTAAAATCTATATGAAGCAATTGACACTGAAGCTATTCAGACTTTAAAATCTCACACATTTTTGAGAATTTCACATATCAAATTAGTTTATTTTTTTTATTGCTAGTGGGATGGGACTAAGTCCCTTGTACTGCGGCCACTTCTGGCCTATTGTACCAGCCTCAGATGATAGGTGAGGCTTATTGTGGAGCAATTGGTGGTATGAATATTGGCAGGGGAACTGAAGTACTTGGAGTAAACCTGCCCCAGCACCAGTTTGTCCACCACAAATCCCACTTGTCCAGACCCGGGATCGAACCTGGGCTGCCACGGTGGGAAGCCAGCGACCAACCGCTTAAGCTATGGCGTGGCCCCTCTCAAATTAGTTCATAATGAGGTAGTTATGCCAGATGCGTCTGTATTTTAAATGCTTCTGCAATACAGCTATCACAATGCTTATATAGAGCAGGCAAGGACCCCTTAAGGTATCTGTCCATCCCAAAATATGTATGTAAAATTGGATGCTTTAAAGGTACAAACATTTTATCTTTAAATTGAACTTAGGATCAGGTCCAGTGTTGGGCTTTGGTGTTAGATGGCAAGGAAGTTATGCTATAATTCAAAGATTAATCTTTGTTCATTACCAAATAATTATGTGTATTGCATTCTCTCATCTCTTTATATTTTATCTGCAGCAACTGTGAATAAGCATCTGGTTCATAACAATATATGAAAATCACTGGACACTGTGACAGCATGAGCAACTTCTATTGGAAATTCAAAAGCTAGGTCAAGCTTCCTCAGTTTTAGTTTGGTTTATTTTATGTAACATTCAATGTTAGGGTGGTTAACTTCAGTTTTGATTGGCTACTAATACTTACATAAATTGTTTGGGTAGGGTTTTATGTCAGTGCAGAATATGTGACTGCAATTACGTCTTTATTATTAAAGTCAACAAACTATTCAAATGAAATGGAATACCAAATGGGAAAGTAAAATATACAAACCCAATACATGTTTGCCAACTGATACAGTGGTAGGACTTCCATAAAGCTTTAGTAACGAATGTAAATAACCTGTATATAAACAAATGACGCAGCGCACGTTTGTGTATGCAGCAGTGTTAATCTGAGAAATTAAATTTGTCTGTCATAGCATGCCAAAGCACTAACCGTTGTTAACTATCATGCCTCATTAGAAGTGTCTTAACAACTTCCATTAGTGTACCTATGGGTAACATTCTTAGCGCAAAGTTAAATAAATTCAAATATGTGTTACAGCAGAAAGCAAATTCTAGGGTCTTGGGATGCGAAAACTGAGGGAACGATATGCACTGTGGGACCTTGAGTTTAGAAGCGAAGTACACATTCTAGGCCTCTAGTAAACTAGCAGAAAATAAAGACCATACCCAAAAGTCAGCAGAATCCCGATCTCTGTGAACGAGATCTTCGAATGGAATATTGCAGTTTGCCACAAAATCGTCAGGCGGGATGGCGGCATCGTGGAAAACAGTCAACCCCAGGTTGACGGCGCCTTGGACGTCGTGGACGAAGTACTCGTTCCATACTGGATCACAAGTCTTCGGTTTTGTTGATGAACGATCTAAATGATTTTCATCCACGTCTATCGACACATAAGGATCTATTGGCTGGTCATCAGGTTTCCCAAACGCCATACTATGCCGCGTTTGAAAATCCGTGGGTCTCAACCCGCAAGCCTCGCATATTTTCACCCTTACGGTTCCAGTGAACATTGGCGTCGTCTGACCCACAACTCGCACAAAACTCTTCAACAGATCCGGCAGCCCACTCACGTAACTAAATAATATGTCAACCGCATATGGATACTCTTGAAATTTCTTTCAAAAACAAGGCTTTCTTGACAGCCATGAAGGTCGATTTTGTTAAAAATTCACTGCACTCTAATTAGCTATCCCACAATGCCTTTCGTTACGTCACAACCAACATGGCGTCAATTGGGAGACTGGTGGTGCGCAATTTAACTACAGATTTGGGTTATAAAACAAATTATTTGCACTTGTTGAAGTAAGTCACATTCCTGAAAGCTTTATAACTATTGTCTCTATGGCACTTATGTTGTTCACAGATAAACCATGTATTCATTTTTGATAGAAAGTCGTTATAGGGAATCATTCTGACATGAGACATCTGATAAAATCCGCGCCATCTATGAATATCTTCATAAAGTAGATTCTTTTGGATCGATTTTAATTTGTCAAATGATTATTTTGCCACCTTCTTAAAAGTAGTGCCATTCGCACAGGTTATTAAGTTATTTTTAGAAATTGCTTGCAGTTGGAATCTGTGGATGCAACCAAAGTCGTGCATAACATAAAATCAGTAGTTATATATATAGGATCTGGGTTCAATCGCAACTGTTATTAATGCCCTTCAATGTTAGAAAATTGTAGGGAAGGAATTCGTGCAGGATACCAAAGTAGCGTTTGTTTTGAATATGTTTTAAATTGAAGACTGTAGTTTTAACAATGTTAACCCATATTCTAAACTATGGACACTGCTTATTTATTATTTCCCCCCCCCCCATGTATCTTAAATAAAACATAAATTTTTGACAAGGTCGATTTTACAGTGTAATGCATTACTGTTTCATTTTATTTATTATATACAATTGGATATTCCAAAAGAATTACAGTATATTAAAATCACCCAGTTTAAAAACAAAATGATTATCTTATGGCTTGTAAAGTGGTCTCACTTTGTTGCATTAAAAGTAAAGTGTAAATGGAGGAATATATCAGGACATTTAAGGAAAAAATAATTTATTGGTGACTGGAGGATGTTATGTAATTTTTCATTTTTAACTTCATACAGTATTAAGGTAACTAAAACAACTAGCATTATTATAGTCCAGATACATATATGGCTCAACAAGAGAGACAAAATAACTAATTTTGGTGTTAAAATCTACAAAGCAATCTATTGGAAGGCAAATGGAGGTAATAAAATGAAAATGAAGAAAGTAGGATTATGAACTCAAAGCGTTAACTCACAATTTTACAGGGGTTGAACAAATTAATGTAAACATTAAGAAATTGAGGAATAGAATTTGTTTGTATCAGCAACATGGAATGTTCTACCATTTGTTTACACTCTGTAGTGCTCGTTTCGGTGCATTAATGATTGTGTTGAGTGACAGTCCATGCAGAAGAACTGGAAAATGGGAGACTTGTCTGATTTTGAAAGAGGGCAGATGTCGGTGCGCAGTTAGCTGGAACATCAATAATAGGAACTGCCACATTATTAGGTGTAGAGAGAGCGAAAGTTTCTAAGGTTATGTCGGCATACGCGAATCACGGGAAGATAACATTAGCGAAGAGGAACAGTAGGCGAAAATCAACACTGACAGAAAGAGTGTCATATATTGAGAAGGATTGTTTCAAAAAATCACAGAACTACTGCCACAAAGGTGAAAGGACAGAAGAACTGAATATTCGTCTTGAAGACCATGTTTCTGCAAAAACTGTCCAGCATGAGCTTCACAAATCCAGCATCCGTGGTAGGGCTGCTATTGCCAAACTTCTTGATTTCTGAAAATAATGCACATACATAAATGATGGTGTCATGACCATAAAACCTGGACATCAGACAACTGGAAATGCACGTGTGGTATGTTCAGATGACTCATTCTTCACGCTGTTCCCTGCATCAGGAAGCCTCTTGATTTCTGAAAATAATGCACATATATAAACGATGGTGTCATGACCATAAAACCTGGATATCAGACAACTGGAAATGCATGTGTGGTATGTTCAGATGAGTCATCCTTCACGCTGTTCCCTGTATCAGGAAGAGTTGGCGTTTGAAGAACACCTAAGGATGCCTGGTTCCAACAGTGAAACACAGGGGAGGTTATGTATGTATGTATTTATTTTGTCTCTATAGATCATTGTTACATGATATAGGACAAGTCAGTTACTGTACATTGGCTGATTACAATAAGAGAATAAAGTTACAATACTTAAAATTGTTTACAATAGATTACAGTAGATTACAATAGTTAAGATTTCACATAGTGTGAGGTGGAATCCATATTAGGTCCCCTCGGCACGTCGGCTTCCATATGTGCTGGTTTGGGCAGCAACATCATGGTACAGTGTTCTGTTGATCCCATTATTACCCTTCATGACCAATTACTGCAAAGGAGTGCATGGACAGGTTGTGTAATCAGGTGCATCCCATGATCCAGATGTTATTTCTGAACAATGCAGTTTTTCAAGACAACAGTTCACCCATTCACAAGCTGGAATTGTTCAGTCATGGTATGAAGAGCATGAAGGTGAACTTCAACACCTTCCCTGGCCAGCACAGTCACCAGTTATGAACATCATTGAACCACTCTCTCAGTTTCTGAGACTAGAGTGAGGAACAGTTCCCCACTTCCAAGATCTCTAAAGCAACTTGAAGATGTTCTTCAGAAAGAATGGTATAAAGTTCCAATAGAGATTGTTCAAAACTTATATGAGGTCATTCCAAGGATTGTGGCTGTATTGAAGGGAAAAGGTGGTCAAGTACCATATTAATAAAAAAATATGTATAGTATCCGTAGTGTTTCTGTTGTTTTGTCCAACCCCTGTATGTGTAGTATAAGAATGACAGCATGCAATGATTAACTGATGGGTTCTTTAGGATTTAATTTTGTATTCATTTAGATTAACCTAAAATCTGAAGCATTCTCATCCCAATTTTTCACACGTCTTTTTCTCTCATCTTCTACACAAATTTTCTGGTGAGGAAATCAAGCAAATGTAAATTCATACTTCCATCAAGGAATTTCAAAGGATACTTTAAGCTTTTTAAGTTTTCAAAAATTGAAGGCTTAATGATTATGCCACTAATAATATTCTGTAATTTACATTTTAATCAGGTCAAACAGTTTTTAAATTTTTTATACATTTCAGATTCTACAATATCAGTAATTTTTTTGGAACTCAAGGAACTTCATCGGTTTACACAGGTTAGACTGTTATAGCAGTGAAATCTAGGAGTCCATGATAGGATACGCACATAGCTTCTACTAGGGGAAAAGGTATACATACAGAATTTTGGCTGGTAAATATCTTGGAAAATGTCTATTAGGCAGACTAAGGTGATGGATCTTTTGGAAAGTGAGGATGAGAAATTTATGGAACTGGTTAAGGATCATGTCCAATAGTGGGTCTTGGTATTAGTGGTGTTAAGTTGTTGGGTTCTGCCACCAAAATGTTCCTCTGTTAGTTGATACTATATCACAGGACTGGGCTATAGGACATAACAGTTTGTTACCTAAATCTAGGTTGTTTCGGAAAACCTGTGGTGTCTTACTCTGTTGTAAACCATACAAAACATTTTCAGACTCCAAGATGTTCCACATTCTCAGCTGATGTCAACAGCCCCACATACGGAAGATGAGACTGCAACTGATGCACTGCACATCAGTGATAGCTGTGTAAAGCGTCTGAAAGAAATTGCAAGTGATGGTAGCTTTTTGCGGGTTATGGTTGAAGGAGGCGGTTGTTCAGGTTTCCAGTATAAATTTGACCTGGAGAAGAGTATCAAGGATGATGATGTGTAAGTACCACATATAGTTTATGTAACAATTATTTATTCACTCATAGTAATATTCATTGTGCAGGAATAACATTTTTTAAACAGCTAATAACTTCTCATTATTTGAATACAGTATCGTTTTGCATCAGCATGAGGCTATTATCTAGTACAGGAGCATATATACATTTTAGGCAGAATAAAAGGAATGCTTTTGATTGAAAAGGTCTGATAAATAATTACACTGAAATTTTGTGCAGCAGTTGGCAACACATAGTTGGTACATATTTGATTATGTGACTCCATGATTAGCAATTTTGTATCACAGTCATTGGGATTAATTTTGCTATGGCTGCTGTAAATTCTTTATTGGCACAGTGTCTTACTTGTCACAGACATGGATGACAGATTCGTGAAACAAAGAATCAACATTAAATTTCTGGTAACACTGGGGAAATGTGTTCTGACATGTACAGAATGTTATAGGAATTTATGGGAAAGGAGCAATGAGTAGAACACAGGTTGTTGTGTGGTTTAAGTGATTCAAGACTGGATGGAAGACATAACAAACAGAAGCTCTTGCCATCTCATCTTCAATAACTGGCCAAAATGTGGAGAAAGTAACTGAAATGGTGAATAATGATTGTCACTTGATTGTTCAGAAAAGGGAAGAGCTGAATATGAATAAAGAAACTATGATCTGATCAAGAAGAAAGTCTTTGCCAAAATGGTATTGAAAAATCTCAATTTCTTACAGGTTAATTTGGCTTTTTATATTACATCATTTTTCTGGAACCAGAGCAAAAAATTAGCAATATGTTTCACTGCATGATCTTAAAATAGCACTGTATTACACAACTACGTTTTCCCACACAAAAAGATTATTCCTTTCCATAAAGCCACATTTTCCGGCAGCTCAGAGAATACCTGTTGCCACTTTACATGTATGAGATTAAGAATGGGTATTTTCTTCACTTACCAAAATGTACCACTATCTTATATTTTTCCACAGTGTCTTCAACAAAAATGGCGCACAAGTTGTAATAGATGAGACGTCACTGGAATATGTACGAGGCTCAACAATTGAATATCATCAGGAGCTGATACGATCAGCCTTTCGGATAGTCAACAATCCTCTCGCAGAACAGGGCTGTTCCTGTGGTGCTTCTTTTTCTATTAAAGTAGACTAAATAAAAAACAATGTATTGTTTCATTATTTATTTGTACTTATATATTCATTTAAATTAAAATGTATATACTTGTACATAATAAAGCACACTTTTTAATAATATGTATAACTGTATATAAAAATTAAGTAAAAATCTTACCATTATTTAACCTAAATTATTTTATCATGCTGTAGTAATTATTTTAAAAGACTAATTTTCTATTTCTCCTTATGTATTCATGGCTCTGTCCTAAAATCTGCTTTGCATAAGTAGCCTGAGACACTTGGAATGATATGAGAAATATAAAGTGAGTGTACTGTTCTGCATGTAACTCTCCTGGACAAATGAAAAATGAATATATAAGTTATGTTTCTTTTTGGAACATATGTAGTACATACCAATAACAAATTGTATGTAAATTAATGCAGTAACAGAAATGTTACAAAAATGTCCCCCGTAAGGAGAAAAAATTTGATCCAGATCATGCAAATTTTTCATATCATAGCCCATTACTACCTACAAAAAATAACACCCATTTAGGAGTAAAATGATGCAACACATGAAGTATCCTACAGCATATCTTAGAATCTGTATAGGATGTGTGAATTTGGCCAATCCCCAAAGCACTCATCATTAGCTTGGTCTGTTTTATAGTTCGAAGGATTAGACCTTGTAGGTTTCAGTAACACTATTAACAAATATTTAACATGTCATTACTTAAATTTTATTTATCATAAACTTAGCTATATAGAACCTATCTCTTCTACACAAATTGTAATATTCCATACTGATTTCAAGATAGTCTGCTGAATACTTCATGTTCCATCTGTATAGAAAACTCTGAATGCTGGGTAGGAATAATGTGGTTTGGTTTTCTTAATACACTAAGTTTCAATCACTCCATTTGTGTACATATAGAAACACATTTGGTTTGAAGCCATGTAAAACAGAAGAGCCCTTCTTCACCACTTAATCACTACTACTGTTGACAACCGGTTACATAATACTGTTTGGAATTAATATCACTGATCGTATGAACATGTCTTGAGATTCTGTTACAATGCATGGAAAAGAAAATAATGTCAATTATCAATATTTGTATTAGTAAAACAGATATTACTCTATAATACTATGATATGTTTTGCTGCTTCTGTTAGTACTTATTTTTCAGTAACACTTATTGTTTTTCCTCATATAGTAATTTATACAATTATTTCTCTGAAGATGTGAATGTTTCAGAATAAATGTTTTATGAAATTCTGTACAATAATTTTGACATTCTTATGATATATATGCAGACATAATGATGATGAAACCTGATTATGTGAATCATATTACAAATATAACCAGTTTATGCAATGATAATTTGAGTAATCAAGCTCCTTTCTGACATATTTTCTCCACTGAGCTTCAGGCATTGCAAGGGCTGTGAAGAGGGCTAGTTATTTTGGAGAGAAATGGCAACACAGTAAGCACTGTACTGGCAGCATTGGGCTGTCATGTGATACACCAGCATCTGTTTTTGGTACTATCAGTTATGAGTAAACATCAATGAAAGGAAGTGTACCGAGTTTTGTCTGCTCATGCTATGGGATGATAAACAGAGTCATGTATCAAACAACAGTGTGCAATCAGGTTTTTTGTTCACTTCAGGAAAACTTGTACAGAAACATTCTGCATGATGCAAGAATCTTATGGCGAGGGAAGCATGATATGTGGTAGTGATTTATGTTGGGATAACCATTTTTCATAGTTGATGAGCATCAGGCAGGATGCTATTAAACCTCCTGAAATAAAGTTTTGTTGAATACAGTGGCAGTTATTGTTCAAGATGACTGATGCATCATTGTCCACAAACTCTGAAATGCATTATCTGTTTCAGTACATAATCCATATGCAATACTGCATGCTGATTTAAAGATGAAAAGATGGTGCTGCTGTTGGCCCTTCAAGTTGCTAATGTTTGATCAGAGTACTAAGTGTTTGTCAAGAACTTAAACGAAGAACTTGGTAATGTATTTCTTCACAGCATTACCACTGACAAATTGTACTTCATTACAGTCCCACTATCAACAAAAGAAGCCAATGGAAAGGTCCCAGTCTTCAGCCCCCCCTCAAAAAAGGAAATCAACATGCAGTGTTGGAATGTGGTGGTGATAATTTTTCTCCACCATTTGGGTGTCCTGTACCAACATGCAGTGCCACAACATTTCACATCTGATGCAACATACTAGACAGACATTTTGAGCACTTGCAGACACCACCAGAATAACAACAAACAGGCAATCTTCACCATGCCTGTATGTCTGTATATGTCATACTGTCTTTCCAATTTTCTGCAGGAACAATTAATCAAAATTGAAGAAATGTACCACATCGTTCTTACAAGCATGATCGAGTATGTTATAATTTTAGATTCTTTCAAAAATTATAGAAAGCTCTCAGGAGCAGGCAAATTTCTGTCACTTGACACATGGATTAAAGCCATGACAGCAAAATTAAAGATGCTGACGTTGATGAGAACTGATTTGGACCACATATTCCAGTCATAAGTTAAATAAGGGGATATATCCATTGTATTCCAAAGTGGGTACATTGAAAAGGAACATACCTCATATTAATTTGGATATTTAAATATGTCACAGTGCTGTACGTACACTTGTGTTACTATGTTTTGAACATAATTTATATACTTTAAATATCTTCCTGGTTAATTTGATAGATACCTATGTGTAACAATATAATTTTGGTTTTACAGCACTTTTTTGCAGTTATATTTTGTTACAATAACATACATTTCAAAGCTTTCATTAATCTGTAAGCCTGTTCAAGCCCTTTGGTATCCCACATTTTGAAAAATGCCATTTTAATCCAATCCCAAACTAAGCTCAAGTTACAGAAACTTATGTGAACATATATGGATGAAGAAACTTTATAATCACATGATAAATTATTTTCAGCTGTTGGTTATGGGCCGATTTCAGTTTTATGTATAACTGAAATTCTTGCTGGTAATGTAAAGGCTTATGTAATAGGTTCTAACGTACAACGTACGTAGCCACATAAGAAAGACACACCATAAGACACAGTATATATACAATTAAAACATAAGAAGAACGACTCCTATAGTGGATGAATGGCATTACACACGAGTTTGATATACGACGTGTAAAATGATAGGTCTTAACAAGTTTTAATATATAAATTTTATTAATGAACAAAACAAACACATTTTATATCATTTTATAAATGGACACTTGATGGCAAGCAGTGCAATGGTTCAACATGATTAATATACCTGAGGATGGCAGAATGATGCCGAAACATGTAGTGTGAAGTGATGAGTGAGATTGTATGCACTAAAAGACAGTTAATATATGCAAATTATGGATTCTAACACTGCATCCATAAGAGAAAGGCCTACATTCATACACACATCAGCTACACTTTACCTGAGTTGTTTTGATGGGCATGTCAAATGCAGTTCTTTTGGTTTGTCTTCAGATTCCCTATTTCTGCTTACCCTTGCGACCAGACTGGAAAAGAACATGCATTTTAATTAGATAAACTGTCACTGAAATTGTTAATGCCAGCATAGGCCCTCACATATATAAAATGAAGAAAAACCATTCTCCTGCAATATAAATTCTGATGTACTGTACTTACCTGACTATAATTATAGTCAGGTAAGTACAGTACATCAGAATTTATATGAATATGAATATGAGAATAAGAAGTGTCATATTATAATATGACACTTCTTATTCTCATATTCATAAACATGTGAATGGCAGATGCTGGCAACTGTCTCAACTCACATATCCACAGAATATGTTAAAAATATGGGAATATTTCAAAAGCAGTGGAGTGTTGTTACTGATGCTACCATAACTGTAATGTTTTTAGAGACATGCCTCTGTCATTTTCAGGTATATTTTGTAAAAAATACAATATCCATCATGTGTGAATTGTAATGTCTTCCCTACCACTCAACCATATGGAATGTATGTTTGAAGGAGAAATACAGTGCAACCTCAACATTACAAGACATTATAACATTTGAATAAAAAGAAACGCTCATTCTAACAGAAACTCATGATATCCAGAAATAGTTTACATACACAACTGCAATTCTGTTCCTTGACTTCCAGTTGGATATAATACAGTTTGGCACCAAGGTTTGAATAATAATGTGGATCCAGCAATATTTCTTCTTATGTGGAGTGGTTAATATGGGGATGTGACAATAATGAAGAATAATTCACCATTCTTAACACTGCTCCAAAAAATAAATCTTAAATGAGGTTTCACTGTATAAAATCAACAGAATTACCATCAGTTTTCCAGATTAGAGGTAGAGCAAGTTTAAACTTTCCTGAAGTAATCCATTTACAAATTTCAGCATGATGAAGAGCTGGAATAAAGCCATATTTATTTGGTAATGGGCACAAAATACTTACTTTATTAGTCATCTGGTACTTCAGTTGATCAATTTCATCCCATTGAACTGTCAGCTTATCATTCATGTTAGCCAGATGCTCTGACATTATGCTCAACTGCGTCTCATAGTTGTGTGTGGTAGTTTGCAGATCTTCTTGCAGTTTTGCAGCAAGATCTTGCACTTGCTGTAGACTGGATTCTGCCTGTAGTTTATTTTGAAGACATAATTCCAGTCGATTTTGTAATACCTGGCACTAGAAGAGAGAGAGAAAAAAAGTTTAATTAAAGGTGTTACCTTTTTTACTTCTCACATTGTGTTAATTGAAAAGGTTGCATTTTGGAAATGGCTTCTGTTTCATCTTCAGGTGAGGAGAATATGAAAGAAAAACCACTCCATTTGTGCTTCCCAGTAGAACTACTCTCAAATTATGATCCATGATTCCAGCTTCAGACATTATTTCTCTGATTCATGACATATACATGACTCGTATCTTCCATGTATGCCTTATGTTCCACTCGTGTCATCCTCCTTGATTAATTACCCTGAGAATATATGGTGAAGGGTACAAATTATGAGGCTCCTTGTGTGATTTTCTCCATTCTCCTATTATTTTCTCTTTCTGAGGTCAAATTATTAGAACCATTGTTATAAGCAGAAGTTTATTTCATCTGCCAACTTACAAAGTGGTCAGTATCAAGTAGAATACTGGAAAGAATATAAATCAAATTATTGCTGACCTCTGCAGCAAGTGTTCCAGCTCTGGTTTCAGCACACTGACATTCTGCCACCAGTTCGTTAATACGGCCTGTCAAGTAATTCTTCACTTCCTGTTCACGAGCCTCTGCTTCAGCTGGGAACCCAAGTGGAGTCGCCAGTCGACCAAGCTAAAAATATGAAAAATATTGGCTGCAAGTTCATCAGAATTAAATTTTCTTACAGTAACATATCTGAATTATGTACATGTTTTCAAAGTGCCAAACAGGTGTCAAACTGATAAAAAATTTTGTCTCTGAAGATTGTTGTTTTCGGGGATATAATGCCGTGTAGTGTGGCAAATGTTCAGAGACACGTGCTGCCTCTATCATCAGGGTAGAAGAATAAGCTGAGTGTGGACAAATATGGTACAGATATAGGGACGTGGGAAAGCCAGGCTAGGAGTCATGAGCAAACCAATTATAGGAAAGAGAACAGGAAAGAAACACTGGATCTTGAAAGATGGTACATTCCTCTGAAACGATGGTGAACATTTTCAAAATTATACGGCGCTCTTGAGAAGACAGTTATCTTCAAAGTCATCACTGTAAGAACCTCAGACCTCATAGAAAATCTGCCTGAATATGTTTTTACTATGGTTAGTCAGTTATTCTGACATTGTATCAGTTACTGTGATATGGCAGAATGACCATGTTTGAAGAATCAGGATGGATGTGGGAACAAGCAGATACGGCCTATATCAAACTACCATTCCTTCCTATTTGTACAGAGGGACTTGGGCAACTCATGATAAGCCTATCAAGATGGCTGGTCAAAAATTTTCTGAACACAAAAGGGATACTACGTGGGTAAATCATGAAAGGCTGTCAAGACAGCTGGTCAGATTTCAACCCAAAATTTCCCAAACACAAATGGGGTACTTATGTGCTACATTGCAATGTTCAGCGTAAATAAGCTGAGGACTGCTTCAAGAATAAGGCTGCAATTACTTGGTGGAGAAATACCACAAGAAGCTCTTAAAGCTGTCAGGATATATACTGCCTGGTTATCATATCTCAAGCTCTGTGAGGTACATTAGTTATGTGGTGATATCACACAACTGTGACAGAGAAACGTACAATGCATTCTAAAAAAATAATTGACTTCACTGCACTTCTGTGCTGTGCTGTGCCATTTCTAATGATGTAGCATAATAAATAAATGACAAAAATAAAGATATAAATATAGAACAAAATAAATTAATTAATTCATTATTTCACGCAACACGCATGAAATGTATTTATGGTGAATAGTGTACTACCTCCACTTTGATATCCCTTCTCCTAGAACCACAGCTGAACTACCCTTACCTTCTCCAGCTTGTAGAGCCAGAGAAAGGAAAACAAGACAGCAGCTGCTCAGCCAAGAGTTAAATTATTGTCACTAAAGTATAAAATATATACTTCTTACCATTAGACAACCTATTTAGGAACTTATTTTTTATTCTACATAAACTTACTAGGTTGGTGACTGTTGCAGGATCCATTGGTGTCAATTTATCTGCATGGGAATCATCACTATGTGGTGTGGTGGTACCACTGAGTGATTCTATCTGTCCTTCCAAATCCTTCACTTTCTGACAAACACAAACAATTTTCATATCATAATACAGTCTGTAAAAAGAACACTCATCTCCTGTTATACTCATACACATACATGACTTAGCACTCACTTTACAGTGACGAAGCTGCAACAGTTGATACTCCAATCGCCAATGCTCCTTATCCTGCTCCAGCTTTGTTGCTTGTTGTCTGCACTTTGTTAGCTGTTCATTCAGGGAGTCACAACTCAATGCGTTGCTCTTCACTTCTTCATGTTCTTGCAAGGCGTCTTCATAAGGAATAGATGGAGACTCTTCCTGCGATACACACAAAGGAAGAAATTGATATTGCCTCTTCACTGCAAAATTTCACATGGGTTGAGTGACTCCTTAAAAAAGGTAAAGGTGTCCCTGTAACAGGCCGTGGAAACCCACAGGGTTGTGAGATGTTGAGGCTCCCACATTTTCTAGACAATCGGCACATAGATGGTGGTCAGGTTGTCAGCCCCCAGGAATATACATGGTACTCATTTCTGTTAGAGGCTAAGTGGACCCCAGGGCCATAGTGCAGCTGGAAGGATTAGATCAATAGATAAATCCAATGGCCTCATTGCAAATCGAACCCGTGACCTTCTGGCTTGTAGCATAGTGCCTCAACCATCTACATTACCGCATGCCCCCTGAGTGACTACTTAAGTAAGATAAAAATAAGAATGGACTCTGATTTAAGGTTTTCCCTCATTTAATGTAAAATTCCAAAGATCCAAGCCAATAATCTCAGCACTACATTACCTTCACTTAGAATGTTCCCCAGTTTACTGTTAAAATCCACTGCTTCCAAAATAAAATTTAAATATGGATTTCACTGTACATGAGAAGGTAAAACAAACAAAAGAATGCCACAACAAAGTGGCTGAGCACAGGCTCCATGTTCTACACACTATCTTCATACTATGTGAAACTTATAAGGAATCAAATGGGGCTACTTATACATAGTTTAATGATTGCAAGCAGGGATAAGATTCAAACCTCTGCACCACACAACAGGAGTAATACATGATTTCCAGATATAAATCTTATGTTGCAAAGCTAACCGCACCATAGATACAATGCATAACAGTCAGAAATCAGGAATTTTCTCATATTTATATTTGTCATACAAAATGTGTCTAAAAGTTACTAAATGTGTAAGTGGTCTATATTAATTTCTGAATGATGATTAGTTTTTGAGGAAATTGCTAAAGATGATTTGAGCTTTGTGTAAAGTATGCATTGTACTGGGCAAATACAAATGTTTGATGTCCAAATCCATAATTTGGTTAAGTTACCTGGTCAAGAGAACTGACATATAGCGCTGCTCTCTTCTTAAAGCCTGATACAACAGGATGCATGCTGCCAGTACTTGATATTACTGACTTGGAAGCTGCTCCTGTCACTCTGCATAACTCTGCCAGACTGTCAGATAACACAGCAGCCAACTGAAACAGTGTTTGGTTTAAACTTCAGGGACTTGCTGCACAGCACAGACACATATTTTACAATATGAATATTTGAATTTTAACTTCACCTGGAATTTAATGTCATGAGCCATACTATTTAAAACTGCCAGAATTCATTTTTAATGTAATTCTTCAACAGTATATTCCATAAACACCCAAGAATTCAGGAACTGATTTTGAATGAATGTATAAGGGGTGTGCCTTCTTGGCCCTTGTACCGCGACCACAGTGATCTGTTGTGCATATGAACTCATTTTAGTAAATATAATTTTAGCATATTATTTTCACTTGTCAAGTATAAAATTTCTGGTATGGAAATCAAAATACCAAACTATTAATTTCGGTTCCATATATGTGACAAATGTCTAGCAGATGAAATGGAGTAAGACCAAGAAGCTGGTTTGCATATATTTAGCAACCTAATTAAGTGAAAATGTTACAAGAATACATTCAGGAAATATGGTGGCTGAAGCAATAATGCTTCAGACTTGTGTACAGAAGGTGTTCAGTCCATATCTCTATCCAGGCTAAGGTTTCTTGTGATGTTCCTCAGTCCCTCCAGTTGAATAAGAGGATTGTACCTTGAAATGGGCTATGGTCAGTTCCCCCTTCAACCTTTTCAAGTTCAAACATTACAATCCATCCATATAATTAGATACAAAATAACCTATGAAGTTGTTATGTTCTGAATAACCTATAATACATCCCACATTAACAGTGCAGATGTCTATGATGCAGCTGGCATAACTTTACGCTTTCAGATTTTACTAGATGAAAATTTTGTAGCTGTACTTGCAATACTTCACAGATTATCATTATTCTAACCTTGACCGTGACTGATACTATAGTCCCTACAAATATCAGAGGTTGCAATTATTCCAAACTTGTCTATAGCTGATACTACAACTCTAGAGACTTCACAGATTATCTGTATTCTAATCTTACTTGTAGCTGAAAATACAGCTCCTAACTCCTTACTCTGACTTTGCCTACAGTTGATGCTATGATTCATAGACACATCACACATCATCATTATTCTAACCTTGCCTGTAGCTGATACCATAGCTCCTATGGACTTCACTAGGCATTCATCTGTTGTTCTTAGGCGATCAGAAGATGTAGGCAGTTCATGTTCCAAATTACTCTTTTGATTGTATGCTCGAGATAAATCTGCAAAAGTTTATAAAATTAGTTAGTGTCATTTGGTCTCTTATTCTACCTGATAAATTACTATAACAAACTTGAAATCCAAAATATAAAGATGGCCGTAAAAAACAATGAAAATTCCATCCAAAGGAATTTCATGATAGACCACAGAGGTTCATAACTCTCATCACAAAAGTTCATTTTTATTTATTTACATTTATACATTCTGTTGATCCTTATGGTACAGCTGACCAGTGGATATGGATTTTGTCCCAAGCTAATAGATTAAAATACGCAAATACAAAAACTACATACATACTTTTGTCATTAAGACAGTTAAAAGATTTATATTAATGTACAATGCATAAAATGATCAAAATTATAAAACAATAATTGATAAAAAATACTTAGGTAATGATATAAAATTATAACATATCAGGGGTACAATTACCAATTTTAATTACATACATGGTTAAAGTATTCCTCTAAGGAATAAAAAGAATTTGAAAGAAAAAATCTTTTTAGCCTCAGTTTAAATAATTTCACATCATTACTCATACTCTTGATTCTGGATGGCAGGTGGTTATAAGCCTTAATACCAAAATAATATGGTCCTTTCTGAAAGATTGTTAGGCATGATGTGCGAAGGTGCAAATTTGTGGTATGTCTAGTATTAAGATTGTGGGTCTCATAGTTTGAACTGTATAGGCCTCTACTATTTACAACAAACAGAATTATAGAGTATATATACTGTGAGTACATTGGTAATATTTTTAGGTTTTTGAACAGTTCCCTACATGAGTCTCTAGTTCTTACATTCATAATAGTTCTAATGATCCGCTTTTGCATTCTGAAAA